CAGATCTTTTCCTTGCAGTGAAATAAGAACTAAAATACTGATGGTGATAAAAGCTCCCCGGCTCTGCAAGAATTACTTTCCCTGGGAAACTGTGAGAAGAAGAAGAAGAAAATAATTCTGGCTATGAAATGAAATCTCATCGGACCGGGAAAGTACGATGTGGTGATGTTACACAGTTTGGTCGCTGTAAGCTTCAAAATTAAGATTTTCAATCCAGACAGTTTCACATAAAGCCAACAAAAGAGTGGGGAAAAATCACTCCATAGCCAGTGTATTGAAGTGGCTTTCTCAGGTAGGTGCTGAGCATTTGGGTAACAGCAATGTGGGCCGTATTTAAAGTCAAAAACAGATGAAATGGGGCCGGATTCCACCGTGACGCAGAACTGCACTACGCACCTGGTGGGCCCAGGAACCGCACCGCTGCCAAAGGAGCCGGGGAACCGAGGGACAGGTCCAAGGAGGGCCCAAAGTTTTCACTAAAAGATATTTGACTCTCTCCTAGGTCATTTAAAAATACATCACTTCTTCATTGCAGCTCAGCCATTTAAAATTGCCTCGCTGGGAGAAAGCGAAGCGGTGATTCCTTACGGGATGAACCTGTGCCGCTGCGGTTTGACAGGGTGCCCTCGCCAGCTGCTTTGAACCATCCAGAATGAGATGAACGGACACAAGTACGACTCGCAGCGTGGGCAGCACGGCGAGGTCTTGGCAGGGACCTCGGTGGGAAAATCACCACCCCTGCAGGAGCCGACCAAGTTTTGCGACTGAGCAGTGAACATGGACCCCGTGTCTCAGCGATCACGTTAAAAGCTGAAGGCGGACGGGTCTCACCTGCAGGCGTGCGTGGCTGCAGAATGACAAGGTGAAGCAGCGTATTTGGCGTTCCGCGTGCTGCCCAAACGCTGGGCACTGCCGCCGGCGATACCCCGACAGCATCCCGCAGCCAGCGTGCCTGCAGCCTGCCTCGAAACCGCCTTCCCTCCCCATCCCCTCCCTGCCTGGCCAAAACGGGATGCCATTTTAACCTAAACTTCTTCTTTTTTCTTTTCCATCTGCGTTTTCAAAAACCTCTAACAGATAAACGCCGAAAGGGCATACTGAAGATGAAACCAGTTTAACTGAAATACCAGATAACAGCACTCACAGCCTGAAGTCCACACGCAGCTGTGTGACTTCCTTGGTACCAGATCACTCTCGTGCGACAAAGCTGTTGCGAGTGAAGCCACACGCGTGTGCGCCGAGAGCTCACACCAGCTGGGCAGGAAGAGGGGTTTAACGGACCGTGGCCTTACGGCAAAAATAAGCAGCAGCTTCATAACAGGGGAGTGATATTTAAGAGCATATGCAAACACCAGATGAAAAGCTTGCTATCTGGTAGTGTTTCATACTACGGAGCAATTTCATAGTTATTAAGAAATATTTTTACAGTAGAAAAGTGGTCTGAAACATCTCATGTGAGGAGCACTGTAAGCTGGCTGAGAATTGTGAATATTTGCAACAAACAGAAGAAGAAAAGCTGCAAAAGAAAGATTTTCTGCAGCTACCATCTAAAGACCCAAGCCTGGGCCCGTGGGGACGAACGCTCCGGCTCCGGCAGCGGGCACCTTGACCTTGCTGCAGCAGGGGACCCCGGAGGAGCAGCCCTGGGGGAGAGGTGGCCGAGGACACAGCCTAGGGGAAAGGTCCAGGGAAGTAACCAGGCTAAAGCCTTCCTGTGCACGCATCACACCTATTTATTAACTGGATGCCTCCTTTATTTGCCCTTTTTCACTCGGCTGGTTGGACCGGAGCGCTGCGGAGCGGCGGGGTGCCGGTGCTGGGCAGTGCGGGAGGGCTGAGCCCCCTTTTCAGCCCCAGCCTGGCTTGGCAGAAGAGCTGCCGGAGTAGCAGGCGGGGAGTTCCAAAGAGATGATTCCCTGGAGATACGCAGTTTTCCCAGCCTCAAGGCAGAGGTGAAGCCTGCAGAGCCCGAGTGCCCTGAATGCAGCAGGGCCACGCATCCCCCGTGCCCTCTCGGAGGGCTCTCACCACTGCTACAGAAGCTGGAATTGGGGATAAACATCCCTATACGTGCCCCTATCTGGTGCTCTAAATGGAAGTCCGATACATCCCAAGCTGCTGCCCATCATCTTGTTTTCTGCTGACGCCTTCTCAAAGCCAGGCAGAAGGAAGACCAGGCTCCTGCACTTCAGAATTAGGAAATTAGGTCTGGTCCTCCTTCCCACATTGGGTAAAGCCAGGGTGCCACGCTCGTACGGCACGCGAGGAGAGAAACACCCAGCAAAATAAGCATCGCCGGGGTGCTCTGCCTTGCTGCCTCTCTGCTCAGACATCAAACAGGGTGGCAAAACCAAGCCATCGCCGTGGACCGGCATCTCCTTGGGAAGGAGCCCAGAAGGGTGGGCAGGCTGGGGGCGGGGGGAGAAGCAGAGACCCACAGCGCAACGCTCCTGAGCAACCAAACGCCCGGCCAACCGAAACACTGTGTGAAAAATCGGCAAAAGCGGTATGGAAAAAAACCTGACCCGAAGGGCTGGGTTTGGTCGCAGCGTCGCGGGCTGGGAAGAGCTGCTTCGTGTCCCCGCGGGGCTGCCGGCCTGCCGAATTCAGGCCGCAGGGGCTGCTTTTCCACCGGGAAAAGCGACCGCCGTTCGGTGGGACAGCACGAATGGGACAAGCTGGGGAGCTTTGGGTTGTGGGGTTTTTTTTGTTTAAAAAGCATTTAAAAACCCAATGCTAATGTAAACACCTTGTCTTTCAAACGAAATATAAAGTAAAATATTTTTGTTCTGGTAATATTTACATTATAAAATCCTTATTTTCAGGATTATGACATAGATCTCTTTTGGAAGCATGAGTTTATAACAATTGTACACAGCATGAACCGATTATGCACAAACTGATTCTTAGATTTTGCCCTGTGCTCCTCTGTCTGAAAGGGGTAGGTTACGCGGTTTGTACAGATTTCCATTTCGGGGGAAAAATTGTCGACGGCGTTGAACACTCCATCCAGGAGTACTGGCAGGTTTACTTCCAAGAACTGCAAAGATGCAAGAAGTTGCATAACTGATTTGTACTTTGTCGTCTGTGTTGACACCTTTTGCGAGCACGCACGCAGCTCAGCCACCCTATCATACCCATCCCAGCCTGGGAGTCCTCGCAGAACAAAACCTTCTCCAGATTTCCTCATTTTCCTTTAAGATGGGCATGGGTTTCTCTTTTCTTACGTCACTCCAAACTGCTCCGTGAGCAAGCACTTCCCAACACACACAGTTTTTCAATGCCAGTGCACAAGCCTAATCCTGGCAACGTTCGTGCCTGTAAAATTCGTGGTGTTTGTCATCTCAGATGTTTGAGAGTCCCCAGCAGCCGCGCCAGCCGATGCTCCGAGGCTTCTCTGTGCACCTGAACAGCATCTGCCTCGAATTTTGAAAAGATCCCTTTTTTTTCCCCCGTATCACCAGACTCTCCCGTTAAATCCAGCTCCCCATCTTGGCAGATGCCGCTCCGTTAATGCCATGAACGCTACCAGCGTGCTGCCAGCAGTAGGCTGAGACTAACGTCACCCAGACACCAAACGCCGCGCCGGCAACGCACAGAGAGGAGCCCGGCTCCGAGCCCGCAGCGGCTCAGGGAAAACACCGAGGGGCAGTTTCTGCCCCGCAGCCTCCAGTTTCGCACTTCCACGCGTCTCCCCGTCGCCCTGAGATCGCTGCTCCT